TTATCTCAGTAGGATAACATTGAGCTTTAAGGTATTGCTTTAGTTGACTTAGTCTAGCAATTTGAGCTTGTTGGTCACTGACGATAGTGACAATCCGTGAGGCAAGATTAAAAGGAATATTAACTTTAGTGTGTTTACTGTGGTTAGAGTAAAAATTTAGATAATTATGTGCATCTGTAGCTTTACAATATAAATCCGTTGTAATCTTATTTGAATCTAGTTGAACTAAAACATCTAAGAAAGGTAAAGACGTTTCGCTACACTCCATCGTATAACAAATAGAAGGATGTAAAGAATTCAATAGGTTTTTAAGAATTTAAATGAATTTAAAAACCTATTGAATTCTTTACATCCTTCTATTTGTGCTGGAGATAAATTTAATGTATTACCTTTGTATCAACTATTTTCCTCAGACACTATTTTAAGAGAAACGAAAGAAGACCAACAAATAAAAATATTAAAACCGAGTCTCAACAGGCCACAATAAAATTTTACGCGAAATTGTCCACCAATCTTGTGTACTTCGTGACGTCACGTTACTATTGTAGTGTGATGACATGTAATTGTGACGTCACGACGTTGTTCTTTTGAATAAACCTGAAAAGCCCTGTGAAGGGTGAAATCAGCTAGTTTTTTAGTCGGTCGTTCATTTTATTTTTTCTATATATATATATATATATATGACAGGTCTCGTAGATGATGAAGGCGTGTACTTGTCCAGAACATCTGGTCATATTCTCCCTGCATTTTTTGCAGGTGTCTCTTTATAAATTGATTTTCTTTTGTTCTTAATTTGAACAATTTTTTCTTCAATGTTTATTTCAATTTCCGGTTCTGTCCTGACTTTAGTATTTTTTAATTGATTTTTAAAAGTACTGAACTTCAAACTAAAATTGTACCTGTAGGAAATGAACGTGATTACCTACAGACAAGAACCACACTTTAATTTAAGTGTCAGGCTTTAAACCACCACTTTATTGTGTCAGGCCACCGCATTTTTATAATTTCCAATTCCAGTTCTCTGTTATGTTGAAGCCAGCGTTCTGTAACAAGATTAATTGTCCTCAAACACAAACACACCTACATTCCTGTAGTAACGTCCGTAATAGTATGCCGTCATGCGATTTGGTTGGTCCTAGACGACAAGACCTTACTCATGATCGTGGGCGGACATACAAGAGATAAAGGACGAGACATACTTACATGTGGAATAAAGGTTGCTGACCGTAGTGGGAAGAAATCCCGACTGACAATGGACTGATGGCAAGTAATACAGAAACATGGACAGCAAACCACTTGAATTACGCTTTCCATTGATTTGCTGTCTGTTTGGGGGAGCCTAGCCATTCAGTGTCCTGTCTCATCGCCAGACTTTTATACACGAAATACTGCCATTTCTATGCTTAGGAAATCTTTATAAACAAATGCAATACACCATACCCACGTGTGTTGATGATACTGGTACGGTAACTGTTCTGTATACTAAGTACCATTTCATCATATTCCGGAACAACTTGCTGCCGTTGTAATATTTTAGCAATGGGAATCATACATATTAGAAACATTCACCCACCCCATTTAAATATCTGTAACCTACTGATAATTTAATGGTAAAATCCATACCAGGAACCGGCGTTATCAACCATCAGTCACTCACTCACTGTCATGATATATACCGAATGGTGAAACTGTACAGGACCTACCGAGATACACTGGGATTGGCACAGCTCTATAAACATCAATAATGTCAGATCTGTGATACGTGTTATATGATGTTATAAATGATAAGTCTCCAACGTGTAAGAATATAAATGTCAATGCTAGAACCTCTGCTTTATTGAATATTTACACGTAAATCGTTATAAAGATATTTAGATAGAGTTAAAATTTTACTTGTGATACTATTCTTTCGAAAAAAAGTACTTTTGACAGAAAACCGGAAGAAGTTACCAACAGAAATGGACTGCAACTTTCTCTATCGGACGAAAAATGGCATCCAATCTATAATGCTGAAGAAGCATAAAGTAACTACAAAAGAAAAAAATAAGTATGCTGCTTTAAATGTGCTACTATACAAAAAGATAAGTTCATGCATTCACAATTTAACGTAGACTTCCAAACATTCACATTTCATACATATCTTATTCCAAGACGTCGCCCCTACGGTCACCCCCTAAGCTACAATGTATCATTGTACGTGTGTGCTGACGCCGTGGTACCTCTATATTATATTCATTTATGTCGATATTGTGGTATAGATTTTCTGGTGTGTTAACGCTGTTGTAAAGATTTTCCTTTTTTGACCCTGTGGTATATTTTGTCTTTGTGTAGTGACCCTGTGGTATATTTTGTCTTCGTGTAGTGACCCTGTGGTATATTTTGGCTTTGTGTAGTGACCCTGTGGTATATTATGTCTTTGTGTAGTGACCCTGTGGCATATTTTGTCTTTGTGTAGTGACCCTGTGGCATATTTTGTCTTTGTGTAGTGACCCTGTGGTATATTTTGGCTTTGTGTAGTGACCCTGTGGTATATTTTGTCTTTGTGTAGTCACCCTGTGGTATATTTTGTCTTTGTGTAGTGACCCTGTGGTATATTTTGTCTTTGTTTGTTGACACTATATTATATTTTATTCAGACAGACATTCTTTATTTCTAGTCATAAGAGATTACATGGTCTTGTCGTTTTGACCAATTTCAACAATTTACAGCATAAACACTACATATGTACATTATACTAGTTTCTTACTGTATTCTTCAAACTATGCTCAAGAGCTGCTCTTGAGAAGTATGTTCATTTCTGTGAACATCCCAGCAAGTTTGTCACTTATAGCAACCATCAGATTGTCCCATTCACCATCGTCCAAAGTAATATCGTTCCTTTCACCAAGATTAAATGAACATTTTTCGTCTTTCTCTACCATATCGTATTGTACACATTTTTCAACGCTTATACAGTAAGACTAGCTATTCGTTCCACCAATATGTCTCTATTTAATGTGGGACATTGTATAATAAAATGTTTAACGTTACTATTCACATATTTTTTGCACAGTTTACACATCACGTTTTGGAATTCAGCCCTGTAGGAAATCTTGATTAATTCACAAATTTTCCATGTGCTTTTAGGAAACTTCAACGTTAGAGACCATAAGGAAATGGGTCCTATAAATTGATGAACTGCCCTAAAGTATAACAGATCTGGACGATTTTTGCACATTTTACACCATACATCAAAGTAATAGTTTGATGTGACTTTCTAAATAAACGATTTCGACTGAAACCCTCTACAGAACGCACCAGAGAAAACAAACTCGAAAATGAATGTCTCGATGTTAAATTTAATCATTATATAGAGAATGTCTACGATGAAGCTCGCGTTTTGAAACGATTGTGAGGTGATCATAAATGTATATAAGCGAATAATAAAAAGAGATTTCCAGACAAAAGATAATTTAGCATTACACAGTTTTCTGATTTCTACATCAGACCATAAATCATAACGCAAGTCAATAGCTCTGGTAGTTATGGCCGACGACGAAGTTTTCTCAAAATCCTGGCAACATCGTGCGGCACACCGCATGGCTCTATTTAACATATCAATGGACTTTTGCGTAGCATTTGCCCAAAGATCACATCCGTAAATGACACCAGGTATGGTAATTGCTTTAATGAGCTGAGCACTTTTGAGAAGATTAAATCCGCCTGGATGGATGCCAACACTCATTTGACTGTTAAGGTTCCGACTTTCTTTGCCACAAGCGCTTTTTATGCCGAAATCAGCTTTTAGGTGTGATCAAAAAGAAAAGTAATTCCCGCGTAAACTTTTGTATCGGTCCATTCGATAATCGTGCCTCCCAGAGAACATACAGCTGATGAGTTACTGACAATTCGTCTCTTATATGAAAATTCCATCAAGATTTAACAGAGTTGTAATTTAGCCTCCAGATACTAGCATACACATTAACTATGTCCAGTTGAGCTTGTAGATTCGCGATGCTTCCAGCTAATATGAACGTGTCATCAGCTAACAATAGACAGGGGATATGTAGCGTATGGTTATTGTATCCATTGTTTGTTTGTTGTGGTATACTTTGTACTGATGTCCGTACATTTATAGGTTTCCTACTTTTGTCATTTTCCAAGAGCGTATATAATCAACTGAATTAGTTAGCTACCAACTGGTATCGGTACTTGATGGCCTATATGCAATTAATTTCACGCTTGAAGTGTATCCGTACAAAATAGCCTAACTAATTCAAAATAATGACGTATACTTATGTCAGTTCCTTAAAGAATTCTGACTCAATTATGCCCACGTGCAGGAGACACTCGTGTACAACATCTCTGGTGTCAAGTCTCAAGTCTTCCATAAATTGACAATTCTTGTCTAACGGATAACATAGCCCTCTCCATATTTATTAAGGAATCTGCAGCAGTACAACACTGCTTATCTGACAGCCACAATTGTACAAGCCTATGTGAATACCACAGTTGCTTCGAAAGTGTCCCCTCTTATTGCGGACGCCAGTGTTTAACATTGAAAGAGCATTAAGAAATACATTTGATACTTGTAGCCGTAAACCTTCGGCTGCAAGATGAAATATTTGTCTATTCGCTTACGAGTAACAAACCACATGCAACAGAGGGCAATAAATCGGTTAAAACTAATGTTATTTTCATATATCTTACCCGATGAGAAAGGGTTTCAGACAATAAAACACAGCACATTTGGCAATGATCCTGATACATAGCCGTTTCTGCATTCAGTTTTAAAATACGAACACAGTAATTGATGGCATAAGACGTCTTCATACCTTTTTTTTTTTTATCCAGGGATGTACTTGAAAAATGTTTCACTGCGATTTATTCATTTTCATCCGCGTTTGTTAAGCAATTGATCTTTAAAACCTTGAGCTTAAATTGTCAATGTTTATTTATTCATGATTTTGTAAGGTAAAAATGTATTAAACTTATGATTCATGCATTTGTTTTCCTTGTAGCGTACCACGAGTTCCCTCCCGATGCCTTCAATAACTTCGAAAGAGCTCATGGCGCCATCCTCCTCCACCTTGTCCTCGTCATCTACATGTTCATCGCCCTCGCCATCGTTTGTGACGAGTACTTTGTAACATCCCTCGATAAGATATGCCAGGTGCGTTTCACTGTTTTGCCCCTAACATCACCGATGAGTCTTAAAAGAACGAAGCAACTGTATGATGCAGTGTATATTACCAAATTATAAAGATGCTTATACAGATGCAATCACTTGTATGAGTGTAACGTGCTTATTTTAAGCAACAACGATAACAATGAATACCAAATTATAAATATGGTGGTATTCATTAACCTACTTTGTAGTTGTCACAGTTTATCAACCTAATTATAGAGTCCTAGTTTATCAACCTAATTATAAGGTCCTAGTTTATCAACCTAATTATAAGGTCCTAGTTTATCAACCTAATTATAGGGTCCTAGTTTTTTAACCTAATTATAAGGTCCTAGTTTATCAACCTAATTATAGGATCCTAGTTTATCAACCTAATCATAAGGTCCTAGTTTATCAACCTATATATAGGGTCCTAGTTTATCAACCTAATTATAAGGCCCTAGTTTATCAACCTAATTATAAGGTCCTAGTTGATCAACCTAATTATAAGGTCCTAGTTTATCAACCCAATCATAAAGTCCTAGTTTATCAACCTAATTATAAGGTCCTAGGTTATCAACCTAATTATAAGGTCCTAGGTTATCAACCTAATTATAAGGTCCTAGTTTATCAACCCAATCATAAAGTCCTAGTTTATCAACCTAATTATAAGGTCCTAGGTTATCAACCTAATTATAAGGTCCTAGTTTATCAACCCAATCATAAAGTCCTAGTTTATCAACCTAATTATAAGGTCCTAGGTTATCAACCTAATTATAAGGTCCTAGTTTATCAACCCAATCATAAAGTCCTAGTTTATCAACCTAATTATAAGGTCCTAGGTTATCAACCTAATTATAAGGTCCTAGTTTATCAACCTAATCATAAGGCCCTAGTTTATCAACCTAATTATAAGGCCCTAGTTTATCAACCTAATTATAAGGTCCTAGTTGATCAACCTAATTATAAGGTCCTAGTTTATCAACCTAATCATAAGGCCCTAGTTTATCAACCTAATTATAAGGTCCTAGTTGATCAACCTAATTATAAGGTCCTAGTTTATCAACCCAATCATAAAGTCCTAGTTTATCAACCTAATTATAAGGTCCTAGTTGATCAACCTAATTATAAGGTCCTAGTTTATCAACCTAATCATAATGTCCTAGTTTATGAACCTAATTATAAGGTCCTAGTTTATCAACCTATATATAGGGACCTAGTTTATCAACCTAATTATAAGGTCCTAGTTTATTAACCTAATTATAGGATCCTAGTTTATGAACCTAATTATAAGGCCCTAGTTTATCAACCTAATTATAAGGCCCTAGTTTATCAACCTAATTATAAGGTCCTAGTTTTTCAACCTAATTATAGGGTCCTAGTTTATTAACATAGTGGATCCTAGTTTATTAACCTAATTATAAGGCCCTAGTTTATCAACCTAATTATAAGGCCCTAGTTTATCAACCTAATTATAAGGTCCTAGTTGATCAACCTAATTATAAGGTCCTAGTTTATCAACCTATATATAGGGACCTAGTTTATCAACCTAATTATAAGGTCCTAGTTTATCAACCCAATCATAAAGTCCTAGTTTATCAACCTAATTATAAGGTCCTAGGTTATCAACCTAATTATAAGGTCCTAGGTTATCAACCTAATTATAAGGTCCTAGTTTATCAACCTATATATAGGGACCTAGTTTATCAACCTAATTATAAGGTCCTAGTTGATCAACCTAATTATAAGGTCCTAGTTTATCAACCTAATTATAGGGTCCTAGTTTTTTAACCTAATTATAAGGGCCTAGTTTATCAACCTAATTATAGGATCCTAGTTTATTAACCTAATTATAAGGCCCTAGTTTATCAACCTAATTATAAGGTCCTAGTTTACCAACCTAATTATAAGGTCCTAGTTTACCAACCTAATTATAAGGTCCTAGTTTATTAACCTAATTATAGGATCCTAGTTTATGAACCTAATTATAAGGCCCTAGTTTATCAACCTAATTATAAGGCCCTAGTTTATCAACCTAATTATAAGGTCCTAGTTTTTCAACCTAATTATAGGGTCCTAGTTTATTAACATAGTGGATCCTAGTTTATTAACCTAATTATAAGGCCCTAGTTTATCAACCTAATTATAAGGCCCTAGTTTATCAACCTAATTATAAGGCCCTAGTTTATCAACCTAATTATAAGGTCCTAGTTTATCAACCTAATCATAAGGTCCTAGTTTATCAACCTAATTATAGGGTCCTAGTTTATTAACATAGTTATTAGGTCCTATTTTAACGAACATTCATTTTCTTAAGAAAATGCCTTTGCTTTTTTTTCAACTGAAACTTAACATTAAGGGAATTTTGCTTAATTCAGAATTTTTCTTTGCGCAGTAAGTGCTTTCCAATTGAAATGCCTAGGCTATTTCCTTAAATAAATGAACGTACTTAAAATTTGCGGTTTCTTTTTTTAATTGTCGCATTTTATTCATTCAGGAAGTCGTAAAAATCGGCATGTTTTCAGAAGTCATTCGTTTTGACTTAGTAGATTCGTGAAAAATGCCTACGTAGTCATTTACATGCACGTCTCTACTGAACTAACTGAGTACAACAGGTTCATGTACTTTTTATATGTATATACATATGTACATTGAATGTTTTTGTACTATTCTGTAACCTATATTTATGTACAGCTTTTCTCTAAAGTACACAATGTTTGTCTTTGTAGTTTATTCTTTAGGTAGTGCTTCGTAAAAATAATTCAACACTTCGAGCGAACTTACATTACAGGAAACCTTAGGAAGCCTTTGTGGTTTAAGAAGAAGGCTAATCGAGCGGTTTTCTGAAAACTGTTTAGAATATGCATTGGGTCGTCTACAACTATCAAACAATAGTTTGTTCCTGCTCTTGTTTTCCCTTCAATCATCTTGTTATGCCTTGTATGAATTGTTTTAAAAGGAATTGCACACTGTTTTGACACCATTTGAATAGAGTCATAATGCAAATTATATACTATTTTTATGTTAGTATGAATAAGGTATAATAATGATTTGGTTGTAGAAGTATTTGTGTGATAATGGTTTGTTACAGAGAAGTATTTATATAACTATGCATTTTAAATGGCTATTTTAACGTATCAGACACTTATATTTTTCAAGGGTCTCCATGTAAATTTTTCCTTGTATATATTTTGCCTTAGTTTTTGTCAATTTGAAGTAAAATTACGGTTTTAAGGCACTGCGGTACCCTGTTATTTCTTTTCTTTATTAAATTTCTTTCAATTTTATTATTATTGTTTAGCTATTTATTTTAAGCGGAATATTTATATAATGCTGTTTTTGTGTCGCCTGCAACGCGAGGCGACATATAGGTATTACTGTGTCGCCGTCGTCGATTGAACTCAAACCTTTATACAGCGCTTCCTTACTAATAGTGCCTACTTTGGATTGCTTTTCCGGTCGGAAGGTCGAAGGCTAATGTCGCGTTACTTTAAAGAGAAAACTTTTTCCCTGCGATAAGTCCAGTTTTCTTAGGCAGATCAACTTAAAAACACTGACTGCAGACTGCAGGCGACACATCCACTCCTGTGGAAGGCTTGTTTACTTTTGTGTTCATGTAACAGTGAGTTGGTTGAGATGATGTTTCTTTAAAGTTATTATGTAATGTTGTTTTATGAGTTGTGTACTTACAAAACAGTTATTTGTTATTAAGGGTATTTTTATATGATTGTGACTTGCGACTAGCATTACAGCCGGGATTTCTCTTGACTTGATAACATGGAGTGCGTACTGTTTCGAAACAGCAATATTTCATTAGTTTGCACTGAAGTACGAGGGACGTTAATCGCTTTAATGTGATCGACAGTAACTTAAAATTATCTTTTTTAAACAGGATAGCAGACAGACCATTATCGAATTTTAGTTGATTGTTTCAAGGAAAAATCAATTATGGTGACATTGTATTGTCGAGTTAGCCGTTAGACAGATACTGCACTTCTGAAAGGGTCATGTATGTAGCTAATCTAACAATGCAGCCGAGAACTGTCAAAACAGACTGTCCTCACCGATAATAAATACATCGCAAGATAAGGTCCATCATCACACGCCTATTTCAATATGTCCCCGGGAATTGGTCTAGACCATATTTTGTTTGCTACGTTAGCTAACCGGTGACCTAACACCGTATTGGGAAATAACGCCATCTGGCGGGGAAAACGAAGACCGATAACGCCCGTTTTTTGTCTATTTTGTTTTAGAAACTTGGAATGAGTGAAGATGTGGCTGGAGCAACGTTCATGGCAGCTGGCAGTTCAGCACCGGAACTCTTTACTGCCATCATTGGTAATATGCACATTCATTTTTTGTTGAATTTTATAGGAAGGCACAATGCTTCACTGGAAAAAGATGTAACGCAGAGGACCCATTCTCGTTTTTGCAATCCGTTTCTTTTTTAAACGTTCATCCATGTATATAGTTTTAGCGTTAGACTTTCCTCCTTGTTTCTTATTATTAATATCGTTTGGAGTTCAGATTAGTTCATTAAGATGTTTTTTGCTACATGTATTTCAGGAACGTATTACAAATTATTATTACTGGATGGGAAATATGGTAATGCCGCTTTTAACGTTTGATGTATTGATAAAGCAAACACATATTGTATTTGTAAACAGTTTTGCTTGATGTGTTTATTGGTGGACTTATGTTTATTGTCACGCCGATTTGGCGCATTACATGTATGAATACAGGGATGTAAGCTGTGAAGGTAATACAATTAAACATGCACGTGTTTACCTTGTAGGTGTGTTCATTACTAAAGGCGACGTGGGTATCGGGACAATAGTCGGCTCGGCTGTCTTCAACATCCTCTTCGTCATTGGCATATGTGGGGTGCTTGTAGGAGAGGTATACAGATACAAGTTTGTGTTGAGTCTGTATCACTGCATGCATAGTAGCCTGGCTATGGTGTAGAGCATTATAAAGTTATGTTACTGGCTATGGTGTAGAGCATTATAAAGTTATGTTACTGGCTATGGTGTAGAGCATTATAAAGTTATGTTACTGGCTATGGTGTAGAGCATTATAAAGTTATGTTACTGGCTATGGTGTAGAGCATTATAAAGTTATGTTACTGGCTATGGTGTAGAGCATTATAAAGTTATGTTACTGGCTATGGTGTAGAGCATTATAAAGTTATGTTACTGGCTATGGTGTAGAGCATTATAAAGTTATGTTACTGGCTATGGTGTAGAGTATTATAAAATTATGTTGCACAATACAGTATTATTTAGCAATGAAAATGTTATATAGATTACGATTGACTATGACGTCACTTTTAAAAACGGTACATTGGGTAGTGTTCTGTTTATTGATCCTATTAACAGCTTCGGTCATCTTAAGACTTACATCCTTGTGTAATGTATGCTGTGTACTGGAGTATATTTATTGTTAGTGTATTTACCTCCGTACGTGTATTTACCTCCATTCGTGTATTTCCTCCGTACGTGTATTTACCTCCCTGCGTGTATTTACCTCCGTACGTGTATTTACCTCCGTACGTGTATTTACCTTCGTACGTGCCTCCGTACGTGTATTTACCTCCGTACGTGTATTTACCTCCCTGCGTGTATTTACCTCCGTACGTGTATTTACCTCCCTGTGTGTATTTACCTTCATGCGTGTATTTACCTAACTGTGTGTATTTACCTTCATGCGTGTATTTACCTCCCTGTGTGTATTTACCTTCATGCGTGTATTTACCTCCCTGTGTGTATTTACCTTCATGCGTGTATTAACCTCCATGCGTGTATTTACCTCCCTGTGTGTATTTACCTTCATGCGTGTATTTACCTCCATGCATGTATTTACCTCCGTACGTGTATTTACCTCCCTGCATGTATTTACCTCCATTCGTGTATTTACCTCCGTACGTGTATTTACCTCCATTCGTGTAGTTACCTTCATGCTTATATTTACCTCCATGCGTGTATATACCTCCGTACGTGTATTTACCTATCTGCGTGTATTTACCCCATGTGTGTATTTACCTCCCTCCGTGTATTTACCAATTATCTAACCGGTCAAATTATAATGCCGACCGGTAGCCAAGTTGTCGCAATTACCTTAAATGCTGAACATTTAGCAGGAGTGACATTAGTTGGTTTACTTAAAGCGACACTCAGGCGAAGAAATGGCTGTATATGCCTACTCCTAGATATTTTATGTAGGCTTGGTATATTGTTATGTATAACAGATGTTAGTATAATATATATATCTGTGTTTTAGGTAGTTTATATCAACTAGATATGTCAATATTTTCAATATTTCCATGTAGGCCAGCTATACCCTAGTCTTAGATATGTTTATTTAAGCTAGGCTAGATATATCCATGTTTTAGATTTATAGACGATATCATATATAGAGGCTCCCCAACGAGTGATGGTTGGTTATCATGTCTTTCCAACTCGAGTTAGTTAATCTTCAAATTGTTTTAAGACACGAGGTTTGTCCGTCCGTCAGCACTTTCGTTTCCGGAGATTATCTCATGATCAAGATGGCCAACATTTCTGAAATTGCACATGGTGACACACTGTGATGTGCAGATGTGCAATAGTGATTTACAAAATTCCTAAGGAATTGGGAATAAACTGTCTAAAATACATCATCTCGTATAAGGCCCTACTTTCGGAAATTTCTTATGAAGATACACTGTAATTATAAATAAATGTGCAATGGTGGTTTATAAAACTCTTAAAGTCAAGGTCGCTGTTACTAAAACAAAAGGGGAAATATACTCTCAAAAAGCAACAGATAATTGCCTTACGGAAGGCCAATTTTCTGAAATTTCTCATGCAGATGTGCATTAGTGGTTTAAAAAACAACCCACGGTCTAGGTAGCTGTTTCTAACAATGGAAACGGGAATAAACTGCCCTTACAAATGGCCATATTTTCTGACATTTCACAGGATGGTACATGTGCAATATGGCTTTTACAATCTGTGAATATCAACGTCGCCGTTACTTTAATATAGAACAGGGCATTACTGTAAAAAGTCTTGTAAATGGTCCTTTCTAAACAGTCAATGATCAATTTGCTTTTGCTCGGTGCTAATACAGGAGATACACTGTCAGGCATACAGCGGGGCCCTTGATGACCTGTCAGCATTTTAGTATTTGCATGTTGATGCGGTGGTGTAATTACATATCCCCTTAGAATAAAGGGGTCATATTTTGTTTATTCTACTACTTCTTCTTCTTCTTTCTTTCACTACTACTGTGTCCGATCATGTCCTAGGTAAATGCTAGTTTGATTTCAATGGACCTCAACATCAGTATTCGTTGACATGTGAAGATGATCATCAATGTCTTGTTCAAAACTACCGCGTTAGCTTTTGATTGGCTAAGCCATATTTGATTATATGTTTTTCTTCTTCTATAATACACATTTAATGAAAGCTGATGAAATGATGAGTACACAAGTAATTTCAAAGTTAAAGATACAAAATTGTTTTGAAAAATGGCTGACTAGTCCATGTACGTTATAATTTCCGACATCATATGACCTTAGCTGTTTCGAGGACGTAAATCCGCATAAAAACAAATACAAAACATATATATAAGGGTCCGTTACCGGATGTGCAATCTGGTCAATTTTTTCGCGTGTTTACAGTTCTGTATATCTTTAATTATATAGTTCCGATGAAGTTCGTTATATGGTTCCGTTACCAGACATCATTCTCGTTAGTGAATAAATCAACCGCCATATGCTGTATTGAAACGTATGAACATGTAAATATTGTATAATACTGAGTAAGAGCCTCGCTTTATATCCTCCTGCACGGCGACCCGGCAGTAGCTGTCTCTTTGGGATTTTCATTGTAAAAGAAATTTAAAGAATTCGTGCCATGGCCCATATTTTTTACAATACAGAACTAAACGAAGTCCAGACCAATTGTCCCTTTTGCTCCCAAAGGAAGCCACAAAGAATGAATGGAGACACATTTTGTCCATGGTCATCGATTACTGGCTACGACTGGCAATCATCTGTATCGCATCTAGCCATACGACTAAACCCACTATAGTTCATTCCACACGACAACTTCCACGCTTATCCAATCACGCTTTGATTCCTGGTCTAAGACGATAGTATTGGTAGGCGTGCTCGTGGTAGGGGACCTAGCTTATAAAACAGGTATCACAGTATATTTTGCTGCTCTTGTTTACCATTCTACTGATTGTAGATGTAGCAGTGTACAGTAGCGTACTGTGGACATGGGTGATATTTTTGTACAATGTATAACCCCTATAATATTACAAAAGTAAATACCGTGAAACCTGGCCTAAAGGCAGGGTCAGCAACAATCAGTAAATAGTTATATCTAGAACAGCCAAATATACTGTGATACCTGGCCTAAAGGCAGGGGCAGCTACAATCAGTATATACCCTGATACCTGGCCTAAAGGCAGGATCATCTGCAATCAATAAATAGGTATATCTAGAACAGCAAAATATACTGTGATCCCTGGCCTAAAGGCAGGGTCAGCAACAATCAGAAAATAGTTATATCTAGAACAGCCAATTATACCGTGATACCAGGCCTAAAGGCAGGGGCAGCTACAATCAGTATATACCGTGATTCCTGGCCTAAAGGCAGGGTCAGCTACAATCAGTAAATAGTTACATCTAGAACAACCAAATATACCGTGATACCTGGCCTAAAGGCAGGATCATCTACAATCAATAAATAGGTATATCTAGAACAGCCAAATATACCGTGAAACCTGGCCTAAAGGCAGGGTCAGCTACAATCAGTGAATAGTTACATCTAGAACCGCCAAATATACCGTGATACCTGGCCTAAAGGCAGGGGCAGCTACAATCAGTGAATAGTTACATCTAGAACAGCCAAATATACCGGGATACCTGGCCTAAAGGCAGGATCATCTACAATAAATAAATAGGTATATCTATAACAGCCAAATATACCGTGAAACCTGGCCTAAAGGCAGGGGCAGCTACAATCAGTGAATAGTTACATCTAGAACAGTCACATATACCGTGATACCTGGCCTAAAGGCAGGGGCAGCTACAATCAGTGAATAGTTACATCTAGAACAGTCACATATCCCGTGATACCTGGCCTAAAGGCAGGGTCAGCTGCAATCAGTGAATAGTTACATCTAGAACAGTCAAATATACCGTGATACCTGGCCTAAAGGCAGGATCATCTACAATAAATAAATAAGTATATCTATAACAGCCAAATATACCGTGAAACCTGGCCTAAAGGCAGGGTCAGCTACAATCAGTATATAGTTAGATCTAGAACAGCCAAATATACCGTGATACCTGGCCTTAAGGCAGGGTCAGCTGCAATCAGTGAATAGTTACATCTAGAACAGTCACATATACCGTGATACCTGGCCTAAAGGCAGGGTCAGCTACAATCAGTAAATAGTTACATCTAGAACAGCCAAATATACCGTGATACCTGGCCTAAATGCAGGGTCAGCTACAATCAGTATATACCGTGATACCTGACCTAAAGGCAGGGTCAGCTACTATCAGTAAATAATTACATCTTGAAAAGCAAAATATACCGTGATACCTGGCCGAAAGGCAGGGTCAGCTACAATCAGTATATACCGTGATGCCTGACCTAAAGGCAGGGTCAGCTACTATAAGTAAATAATTACATCTTGAAAAGCAAAATATCCCGTGATACCTGGCCGAAAGGCAGGGTCAGCTACAATCAGTATATAGTTAGATCTAGAACAGTCAAATATACTGTGATACCTGGCCTAAAGGCAGGGGCAGCTACAATCAGTGAATAGTTACATCTAGAACAGTCACATATACCGTGATACCTGGCCTAAAGGCAGGGACAGCTACAATCAGTAAATAG